ATATCGATCAATGAGAGATGGGTTTCAAAATTTGACAAAACATGTATACAAGTAATGCTCTTTATAAGAATCCCAATTAGTGCTCCCCCCTTTCAAGTCCCACAACCGCCACAGAACTATATTAATATTCTAATGACGGTTACCGGAAATTTGTTTGAAAGAAATTTCGTCGACGGAAAATTGATCGACGGCAATTTGATCAAACGGAAATTTTTTCGAATCTTTTTTTTTTTTTTTTTTTTCTTTTAATTTTTTAATTTTTTTTAAAATTTTTTTTTTTAAATTTAANATATAGTCTATAGTAATTTTAAACAAAATAATGCGTATACCCTGTGTCCTTACTTTAAAAAAAAAAAAAAACTTTAAATAGCCTTTTCCTTCCCCAATTTATGTAAACATTACCACAAGTGACACAATCACTTTTACTAGTCGATCAATTGAAAGGAAAGTCAAACAATGAACAAAATTATTTTTTTTCGTGTAAGAAAAAAAAAAAAGGTAAATAAGTGACCTCATAAGAGTAGATAGGTTTAAACTTGACCGATGACCTCAGTGCCGATTGGGTGGCACTGTTTGACACCAACCAATGATAGGCGTTAACCTAGATAATCACCCAATGACTGATCAGAACTACAAGAATATTTGCATGTAGCTCGAACTTGTCTTTTCTTGTCTAATGACATTATATTACAGGCCATATTGATTTGGTCGGTGAGCATTGAGATCCTGGCTACGTAGATTTTAGTCTTGATAGTACGCAGAGTTGTAAAAGAACCAAATATCATGAATGCCGGCTTTGGGGGAAGACTAACTGGGTGGGGTAGATAGAAATACCTGAAAGGGGTGGGGCTAAAAGAAAGCAAGAAGGGACATAATATCGATCAAAACACTGGGAATCTAGGTCAACGCGTGCCATGTTATGTTATTATTATTAGCGTTTAACTTCACTGTTTTTGTCAATATTTCCTCTGTATACTTGCACTTGACTGTATTTGACTATAAATGTAAATGTATAGTATTACTTAACTTATACTTATTTAATATTCATTATTTCTTTCTTCCATTACATCTGCTTAATATTGAATCTTTTGCTGTAACTGTAAGTGTAAGTATTGCTGACACTTCCTGAGACTTCCATCATTAATTTAGCGGTGTTTCGCAAATTACTTCACTCAAAAAGTGACATTTAAAGACACCCCTCCCCTATGTCACAAACGTGTAACAAAATTCTTTAACCCCCCCCCCTCTCCCCCTCTTTTCAGTGTCACGTCACACCTAAAAAAATCAAAACATGCATAAAATTTTCATAACTAAGATTTTAATTTATTCTTTAACATTTTCCCACAATGGGTTAAGATGTAGCCTAGTATTATTAGAAAACTGTGACGTAAAACGCAAACCATTGAAGTCCTCCCCGAGCCGAATGTAAAATGGCCACAACACTTTTGCTTTATTTTTCAATATGTAAATGTAATGAAAATGTGAGTGACTGAGTTTCACGGTACTTAAAATACCTCAAATTAATGTTTTTAAAATTAATTGAATAACGAATTTTCAAAATTAGAACATTTTAGATTTTTTAAAAATAATTAAAATAAAATAAATAAAAAATCGTAAAGTCACATTTTTTACCCCCCCCCCCAACCCCCTTTCCTCCCCCCTGTCATAAAGTGTCATAAATTCTCACCCCCTTCCCCCCTCCCTCCACCACTAATCGTGGCGTAATTTTGCGGGTAGGAGGAAAGGACTTAACTGTTGATTTTTTTAATGAACGTTTAACTCGATAATACTAATGATAGATATTCGGTAAGGTTTTAATTTTCTCCTTCAAAATTAGAAGGCTTATTTGTTTGTAAATTGCCTACATTATTTAAACATAACAACAACAAAAAGTAAAGTTTATGTTTGGCGCTGAGTAGCTAATCACGAATCGCTTTAAGCACACCAATTAAAAAAAGAAGGTGCAATGAGGTGCGATTGTTAAGTTGTTTAGGGAAATTTTAAATACATTTTAAAAAAAAAAAAGTATTTGGGACGTTTTAAAACAACATATTCCTATGATATAGTTATAGTTATAGCAAATAAAATCCAAAATCTTTTCAAAGCGCGGTTTGCACATTTGCTGTTGATTTATTTATTTGTCTTTTAATTTAAAATTCGGTTCTTTTAATAAAATTGTATTTTTATTGGGTCTAGTTATTAATTTAAATTTGTTAATACTGCTATTTTATAGTGGTAAAACATGATACTGATAGATAAAACATACGTAAAAATTAATTAGTAGGCTGCGATTAATTAATTTACAACAAATATTTAAAACTGCTTCTTGTTTTTTGTTGATTTTTTTTTTGTTTTTTTTTTTTGTTTTTTTGTTTTTTCTAAAGTACAAAAATAAATTCTTTTTTAAAACTGCAATTATGCAATTAAGCAGCTGCATGTGAACCGGATGCCAATCACTGATTCAATTTTAAGATTTACTGCTTTGCTTGGATAACTTCCAAGTTCCAGGTTTTAATAATTTGAGCGTAGCTTTATATGTTTGGAAAGACTATTTTAAGTATTTATTTGATGAAGTTTTATGTGGATTGAAGCGTTATGACTTATTACATTTTATAAAGCAAATAAAACGATACAATGGCATAACATATTATATTTTAAGTTCGTCCTCAAAAACATGTAATATTTTACACACAAACTAATCCAATGGATACTTTTGTCATGAGGTTGTAACGATTCATTAAAATAAATTACGACTAACATTATGACATATTATTTTTGTGCTTTTAATAGGCTTTAAATCGATTTAATAAATTTCTTGTATTAAATTATTGTCTTAAATAGTGTGCCCTCTTCTGTCGTGATCTTTTCTTTGTTAACAACGGACAATTGGCGAAAGTGGAACAAATATAATAGGGTGGGGGGGGGGGGGAGTTTATAAAAATAAGGGTAAACGTTTAAACAGCCCCTTTTCTTCTCGTTAACCAAGCCCAGACACCCCTATCTTTCTTCTTATTTACCAGCATCGTGATGGTGTGGGATCTAATAGACGAATCACGGGCAGACACATTTTTTTTTTCATTCATGGTTACTAGTACGCAGCGTCAGTTCATTCACAGGGAGGCGAAGTTGCTCCAGATTCAATTCGCCCGCGTTCTCTCATTGGTCTTTCTTTCCTTTCTTTTATATTCTTACTGTAGACACATTTAAAAATGGTTTTACCGTAGATATCCTATTTTATACTGAACCTTAAATTAACTTGAATTTAGATGTGTATCGTTCTCACTTGTCACAACTATTACAATATTTTTTTCCCTGCTATTTAAGGTATTTATTTCAATACGATGGGCCTAAATGATTATATACTAGCGACTAGTACAATAGTATAGCTATACTATATTATTTTATCTTAACCTCAACTGATAGGCTACCCCATATAATATTATTTAATATTATATTGGTAACTTGTTACACTTGCGTGCAACCAATTGTTACATGCAGCGGCGAAATATATCTAAAAAACATACTGTTACTTGATGATACATGGGGATTGCCACTAAATGAGAAAATTATTTGGAATTACTAGGCTGGAATGTTTTGTTTGTTTGTTTTTTTTTCTTTTTATAAAATCTCTACTTTTTAATATTTTGCGTTAAAATATAAGCCTATCTCCCAATCCTCAACATAAAATATTGATGACAATCATTTATTTAGGAAACGATCAAATTTTAAATGTTACCAAATCATTAAAAGCATTTTTTTTAAATTACACATGGACCCAAGCCCAATCGTTATAAAATTCACCCTGTAATATAAATCTTATGATGACAAAATAAGTCAATTCAATAATTTAAAAATGCTAATGTAAGGTGTGTGTTTATTTTTGTATAGTTTCAACTTCAAATGATCACTTTACCTAAATGTGAACTTCTTGATACAAAATAAATATAGTCAAGAATAATAAAACCTTTCCATTATACCTTATTGAAGAATTTTTTTGTGTTTGTTCTGTTTTCATATAGGCCTATGCTAGGCTATCAATTTAAAAAAAAATAGCTTTTTTAAAAATAAATTATAATTAGTTTCATACAGTTCTCTTCTATTAGGATTACATAACATTTAAAATAATCTTTCCAGAAGTAACTTTGAAATATTTTTAAGCACATCCCGTTACTTTACTTTATTGTTTTATGAATAGGATGAATAGGCCAAACTTTACCATTACCAAAACTTCAAAAGAATTGGTTTCGATAATTTTTTTTTAAAAAATCGATTAAGTCATGTGAAGAAGAGTATACATATGTAGGCCTATATTATAACTAGTTTTAAGAGTATACATATGTAGGCCTATATTATAACTAGTTTTAAAGATATATTAGAAATAAAAGTCAATCTGTAAGTTTCAATTTCATATGAGCATGGGTGAAGGTGGGTGAGTGAGGGACAATTTCCAAAAACTGACTTTTCTGTACTGAAGCGCACGTTGCAATAAGTGTCAAAGATTAAATAATATTTTAAATTTCCTGCAACTTTACTTGCTCGAGTCTAAGTTTAATTTATTATCTTTTAAGTAATTAAATTTAGGGAAAAAACATAATTTATTTGTAATTGTTAGCCAGTGTCTATTGCTCTTCATTATAAAAATGAAGAGTCTCCGAAAGAAAGAAAAATATGTAACTGACTGCTACAATGGAAGCAAATGTAGCATTCTACTCCCTCGCCCGCTCAAACGCTTGCCTGCTAGAAACCTTGGCCCGTTTAACACATTAATATTCATGAAATGGAAGAAAAACTAAACTTACTTAATATACTGCACATTGAATACAAAAATTATTATGATTATAATGCAGGTTACTAAATTCATATTATAAAGCCATCTCTGAAAATGTTATGTTGTTTTTTAATGAATTGTAAGGAAATATTTAAAAATCCGTGACATTTTCTCCTTTCATGATCAGGTCTGCGCATGCGCCATCTATCGAAGCCCATTGAAAGCTATAAAACTGCAGTTAAGGTCTTGAAACTTGGCGCAGTAGCATTGCTAAGAGCTGAGGAACAACCTCATAGTCACATTGACTGTTGCCATTATATCCTGTACAATCAACTACCTCATATTTATTCGCATCTTATTTCTTGGACTTATATTTCTTTAAGGATTTCCCGAGTGATTTACAGAATTTGTGCGGACTTAAATTCATTCTGTTTGGTTGCTATCCACTAAGTTCTACTAGGCATGGAGCATTTTAATTTGGTTTGCCTTGAGACAGATGTTGCCGGAAAACCTCAGAGGGCTATCAAAGATCCTGTTTTACTAAATGATAAAAGAGTTTTAGCAAATTTGTTGTCAACAGAGGATAAATATCTTCCACATACTAATTACTTTAACTGCGTACAAACGGACATACAGCCGTACATGAGAAAGATGGTTACAGAATGGATGGCGGAGGTAAAAATATTTTTGTTATAAATAACCCACTAAAATGAAAAAAATCCAGTTGAAATCCTTTTGGCATAAACAATAGCTAATCCTCTTATCAGAATACAAAATAAAAGATCTTGCTAATATAATTGATTGATTTGCATATGGATCTTTAAAAAAGATAGAATATTTAGCATGCATGGTATGTGTCGTCACAGGCAAGTCTGCCGGCTTACAATATGGCCGGGTTTGCTGAAGTCCTTGAAATTCCAACCAGGCTGCATGTATCAGAAAAAGAATGTCTGAGCATAAGCATCAGTCGGGATTATGATAATGATATAAAATAAATACTTTTAATGTACTAATTACAAATCTGGTCATATGCCAAGGCTAAGGTTTGATATAGACAAGCAGGTGTTGGAGTAGACAACTTTTAGTTGACGCTGAGCATGTGGCATAAGCTGCTGCTCATTTTTAAGTAAAGATTCATCTGGTGTCTAAATTGGTCTCATGGGAATTAATTTACAGCTTTTTATCTTTTTAGTATTGTAAATTTTCAAATGCATATTTAAAACTTTAAATAAACATTTATAATTGGAAGGCTCAAAGGTGGCCCGCTATATTATAATTATAGTCTTAGTAAATTTATAAAGGTAGTCCTAGGCCTAGCTAGTTAAGCTAGCACTAGCAGCTAGGCACTCAATACCAAGTTTTTTATTAGAGGATATCTTTCGACATTGTTTTCAGAAGGCATACTAAAGGATTATGTAGTTAGTAGTAATGAATAATTGATTTATTAATTGGTAGCAAGTTTTGAAAAGATTGGCTTTTGATTCAACGAATCACATCTTAAACTTATTACTTATATTATTAATTTTACTTTTACCAAATATATAATGTTACTTACTAAATTACTAACTAAGTCTTTTTGTCTTTACTAGGTCTGTTCAGAGCAAAAAATGGAAGAGGAAGTATTTCCTTTAAGTGTGAATTATTTGGACAGATTTCTGTGTATCAGGGATATTAAAAGAACGCGGTTGCAGCTTTTGGGTGCTGCATGCATGTTTCTAGCATCAAAACTAAAAGAAACCTCACCTGTCAGTGGGGAACAGCTTGTTTTGTACACAGACAATTCCATAACACTGGAGGAGCTTACGGTAAGAATTATTTTTTTGGAACTAATGAATTCAATACATAGTCTTAGTTGTACTAAAAGAACTCCCATTCCACATTAAATAAAAAAATAATTAAAGTAACACGGTCAGAGGTGTCTACTGTAGCTAATACTAATATACAATTTTGCCATATGAAATTTTTTTTAATTACATAGCTAGAAATGTATGCCTAGACTATATGTAGTTATAAATGTAAAATATATTTAATGTAAGTGTAGCCTTGTAATTGTAGGCTTAAACCTTATTCAATTTATTGTCAGTGCATATATAAGGTCCTAGCTGTTGGATCACTTAATAGTGATTAATTTAAAAAAATCACTTAGGCACTACGCCCTATTATTACTATTAGCAAATCTACATGTAAAAAAAAAATGAAATTAAGCCTCTAATTTTAAAATAAAAGTAAAAATAAAATTTTATGAGTTAATTTCTTCCCCAAATTAAAAGAATAAGTAATCATGCAAAATAATATTTGTATTTGATTACATTTATTTGATGTCAATAGTGTGGTATATATTTTAAACCCACCTTTGACATATTCTGTTTGTGCAAGGTGATACAACATGTGTTTGGGCTGTTTATTTTCTGCATGCAGTTCATTTTATATGAAACATTTCTACTACTAGTTATAACATTTCAAAGTTTATTGGTTTTATTGGAAAGAAACAAAAAGGTCACTTTAAGAACTGACAGCATAAGGGCTGTAACTGTGGGATAGAAACATCGTAGCCTGCCTGATATAGGACACTATAGGTTTATGGCAAAGTAGTCAATGTTAGGAAAGGGTTGTTGTTAAATCCATACCTCCATTTTTATTGAAAACTTAAATGCATGGTAGGAACCAAGTTTTATTAGTAGCATTGATATCATTAGCAAGTATAGGAATACTAGGAATTTAATATCTGGGGAAGTGATTAGGTGGGGGAGGGTAGCCCTACAGGTTTGGCACAGGACATGTGTATATCACAGTCAGGGCGGGTAGATGAAGAGATCAGTTCTAAGACCACAACAGACGTGAGTCTGCTCGCGCAGCCAACGCAAGAGGGGCAAGTGTGTATGATTATGAAGCAAATCAGATTTTGTGTTTGCATTGTGAGATTTGGGAAAAAAACTTGCTTGTTGTTTAGAATCGGGTGCTGAGATTTCTGTGGTTATACAAATGAAGACTTGCCATTAGCATGTTTGTCATTGTGTACATTATGCATTATTAGTCAACACAACTGTTGGACCTACAGTACCATTTATTTTTATTTTTTACAGGATTGGGAGTCCCAGATCTTACAACTCCTAAAGTGGGACCTCTCAGCTATTGTACCCAATGATTTTTTAGATCACATATTACACAGAATGCCCTTAACCAAAAGCATTCAGTCTGCCATTAAAAGGCAAGCACAGACATTTGCTGCCCTGTGTGCTACAGGTGAGTTATAGTTGTACAATGGAGAATCATAAGATTTTTGTTATTTTCATAAGTCATAAGATTCATTTGTACTAATTCATATTGTCATGCATTATCATTGACAAGCTCTGCTTGAATATCTATATAAAAGACAATAAATATTTTTTTAGAATAAATCATGCTACATAATATGTGGTCTGCATCCATTTTGGTTCTACAGTCTCCAGTGACTCATTCAACACAATCAAGAATGACTAGGCTAGCTATTACATTGCCCTGATTGATCTTGGCATTGATATATTAAAGTTAACGCTATCAGTATTCGTTTTCTGTTATTATAGGGGTGTTTAAATATTGAGTTTTGCATATACAGAGTTGAATAATGAATCCTCATGCAGCATGTTAACATAGTAACTATCTTTCCAACACCCATATTTTTCCAAATATATTTGATAAATTTGAATCTGTATGCCACTTTGTTCTCCTATCCCCACACTTTCTAACTGTGTGGGTACAGACCTGGAGTCTGGTAAATAGTGGAAGGTGTGAAACTATGCATATATTCTGCTGCTGGCATAACCTCAAGCAGACCTTCATGGGGAGTCTCGCATAGTTTACATTCCTTCATGTGACAGTCACCAACCCCCGCCCTACACATAGGCTATTTGTGACTTGTTCACCTTTCGTTTTTACTGCCATTTTATCCTCCTCACATTTCTTGGCTACAGTTGTGGGATGATTTGCTTTCAATGGGGAAATATAGTTTTGTATTTTTTAATATATATCGACTTGGTAAATTTAAATTATTCATCAACATGTCTCTTTTATTTCTCAGATGTTAAATTTATGGTGACACCCCCATCTATGATTGCCTGTGCTGCAGTTAGAACAGCTTTACGGAATTTAAACTGTGACAATGGAAGGGAATTATTGACCCTTCATGATATCACAGGCAATGATATGGTTAGTATATTTTTTTTAATTTGCACAATTAGTTTTATTTTGGAAATAGTATGGCTGATTATTTGTTTTACTACTATTATTATAGTTTGTTTTTTTAAATCCTTATTTTCAAAATTTATTTTGTGTTTTCTTAGGACTTGATCAGAGACTGCACTGAGCAGGTTGAACAGACAATCAGCAACTGTATGTCATCTTATTCATCTGGAAAGCAGGACTCTCATAAGCAAGAGCAACCAACAACCCCAACTGATGTTAGGGAAATTAACATCATGTCTGTGGACAACCATCAGGGTGTGCCTGTGATCTTCTGAACAACTCTCCAGATTACTTGGCCTAACAAAATAGTCAGGGGTGTGTTTTTGAGCCATCTTAACAGGAAAAGGATACACACATTTCCTGACATGCCCAATCGGCATACTGGCTCTATAGCACAGGTCTGCCCAGCTGTTGGCATAGAATTTTGGACATAACAAGAAATCGTGTCTTGCTTTTGGGCTGTCTCCAGATAATGAGTCCAATATTTCATTTCATTTCCTCTAAAAGATGTAACAGGACACATTTTGTATGAAATGGAACAATTTCTTACCTGGACTAATGCTATCTTGGAATCACTGAAAAGACTGGGAAGTGTTATTTGATGTATATTTCTCTATCCAACGGAGAAACTTAAGTGAAAAGTTCATTAACACACCTAGTAGAACTTAATGCTTTAATATATATGTGTTGCAAATCTAAAAGTTTAAAAAAAAAAAAAAAAAAAAAAGATTGACCAATGTACAAATCTTAATAAAGGGTTTCTGCTACTGCTTATGTATCAAGTCTTCCATGAAGATGAAATTTAAAGAATGCTGATTGCTTTTTGGTACATGTTCCCAATCAGTATTTTGCTGATCTGCTAACACTACTAATATCACTACATTTATTTTAAGAAAAAATATGAGCACAACAGTTTTTTAGTTTCTAGAGATAAGCACAAATAAAATGTTAAATATAGATATTTATAGCTAGTCATATATCATTCATTTGTTGCATCAATACTTTGTTTTATTATAGGCTTGGTTTCGACTCAGTAAATTAAATACTTTGTAGATTCCTCTCTATTACACCACCATTTATTTTAACTTAATTATAGTGACTAGAATCCCCTTTTTATTGGGAAATATCAGACACTGAAATTGTGTTCATTCATAACAACGAAGTAAATTATTTCATACAGTGGCTGGGCTTTCCAAATAGAAATTGTGATTTAGCCTTAGTTGTTGTAAGGAGTCTATGATTAATTGGATTATCATTACTAAATGAGGTACCAATCACATTAGTGTGATGATGCTTAATTTGTATAATTTATACATTCGCAACATGTGTTCAAAAAGTTTCTAAATTATTGACAAGATTGCATGAAGTGGATTTCCTCCCTAACCCTAAATCCCTGGTGTATGCAGTTGCCTATGTGTTTGTATTCGGTAAAACGGTAAACAAAGTGTAATGTATTCTTGAATAGTGACTTGTATAGTCCAAGATAGTGGATGGGATATACTGAACATTTTCAATGTTTTTATATGCCTTCTTGTAATGTAACTAATGTTATGATGATAGCATTGGTTTCCTGATTTATTTTTGTTTGAATGTCAAAGACATGTGCACTCAGTGTTGTCTTTGCATCTTTGTGGACTATTTGAACATACTATCCATGCCAAGTCATCTGATGTTGTCAACTATTCAACACAAGAAATATTCAATGATGGTCCTGGTTGAGGGGAGGTGGGTTCGTTTGATGTGATACAACAGTACTATAATACGCCTGCACTCTTTCCAGGGCCATCTTCTACCTAACTGTGATGAGGCCGCAAATTTTTATTTGGGCCAACAAACCATTTTTAAAAACTATATTGAAAAGCTCGTAAACATGTGTTCATTCTCAAGACCTTTTTTTTTCTGATGTGTAGTGATTTTCATATAACTTTATCGAATAAGATTTTATGCTTATGATAATTTGAAGAGTCATAACTTCTTTGTTTAAAACCATTTCCATACAACTATAACATTAGTGTTATGTATTTCTTCTGTTTTGTGTTTTCTAAATTTAGTTAATGGCCTGAAGACAAGGAGCATTTAAAATAAATGTACCATAATTTTCTTTGTAAATCAATTTACTGTGTGCTTTTCATATGTCTAAAAGAAAATGGTATGTAGGAAAATTAAAAAGTTGGCCTGTAATTTAGAAACATGTTGAAGCTATTTGCCTAAACTTTGTCTCATTTATATCTTATGATTGACTGTCAGGAGGAAGATGTTTTTCACTGCTTACACAATTTTTAAAAAGTTTTACATAGTTGAAATGGTATAATCATTAATAAAATTAATTTTTAATTCAGTACACATTTTTCATTAATCCTTTTTAAAAAACATCTACTTGGACAAAGCATTCTATGAAAAATTTATATTATTCAGAGGCCTGGACTTTTAATACTTTAGATAGATTTATATATAAATATATGTTTTATATAATTGTGCGTAATAGTATCATATAGGTGATTCTGTTTAAAAAGTTGTGTCCATAATACTTCAAAATTTGTTTGTCAGCCTATGATTAATGTTCAGTTCTTTTAAATTACAGTTTTTTTTTTAATTATTGTAAACCATACTAACCAGTAATTGATCTTTATGTATTTGGTCAGCTGGATGTATATAGTGTAGCTAGTTCTGCTAGAGTGACTAGATATACCTAGATACTGTACCTGGTTCTACTTAACTGGTAGATGGGAGCAGGGTGCAGTGCAAATCCACTAAAATCAGTTTTTTGTTGTGGATAACTGTCAGCAGCTGTCCTTGTTCATATGTAAACAATGCAAGAACTACACCATTACCTCTGATATCCATCACTTATTTCTGTTCATCTGCTAAATTAATTTAAAGAAAGGAATGGTTTATTTAAGTCTATTTTTAACATTACAGAAAAAACATGTTTTTGGGTTGTATTTTTTTGGTCCTCTCAGGATATTATTTGATGATTATGCCATTACTATGATACCTCAATTTGAGTTGAATTTTTGATATTTGTTCTTCATTTTGTTGTCAGCTTCCTTCTTGTCTCAGATGATTTCCTATTTGTTATGGTTAATTTCATTTAAATTATATTACTAATTGGAAATATATATTTTTAATAGGTGCACATTCGAAAGAAAAATGTCTTTAATACCAGAAGGCAAACTTTTTTAATCCTTTCATAGATTTTATTGAATTTAGCCAGTGTCCCCTTTAAATGCCAGAATTGAGTTTGTAATGAAATAGGGTGCTCTTATAAAATTGGATTAAAGATACATTTAAAAAAAAAAAAAACAAGGCTTACTTTAAAACATCCCGCATCCTAGGAGCCGCCTTTGCATCATTGTGCAACCCACTCATTTTTTAATTGATGACATTTTGCTGGATAAACTGGGTCTTTCAGTGCTGTCGGTTCATTTAGCTGCTGTGATAATTTCGAGTCGGTGAGAGCATGCTATAATTGAAGTTTTGGCTATTGGGTTTGCTGTATGTAGCAGCCTCAAAACTTGATTGTTTGTAAAAGTATTCTAAATAAATTTTTGCTTAACCCATCAGTGACAGTTTCTCATACATAATTTTGATAGTGATTCACTTTTTGTTAAATATTTTGTCAATCTTGATTGCCACTCATGAAGTTTTCAGTGTGAGAATAAAATTTCAAATGAAATATTAATACCATATATTTTGACACATTTGTTTAACGTTAGGATGTGTAAAGGCAGTATATCTAGGGGGTTAGTCCAGGCCGTAAAGCTGTTGTGATACTGTAAAATAAAATGAAGCAGTCCGACCTTGTAGACTTCCCCACCTACAAATACTTGATGCCTTGTAGTAGTCTGTTGTGTGTGGTTATTGCAGAAGTTGTCTGTGAAGCATTGCAATGTATTTAATCTTGTAACCTTTTTTTGTTTAAAATGACATACCTCGAAATTCTTGACTTATGGGGACCAAACACATTGAGTAATAGCATGGTTTAAAATCTTTATATTGTCCAAGTTTTATTTGGTTTAGGTTTTGTAACTGCCAAAATGTCTTAAGTGTTCAGGGGGTCAACTACTCAAATTCAAAACAGATGTTGGTGATTGGCAAAAATATAATTTTTTTTTTGGTACATCATTTTTTGGGGGTCAAGTTTTGGTTTGTCTGTTTGAAGCATTACCTTTCTGTGCATGACCTCCTTTATAATGCCTTATTCAAATGTGAACAATTATGTACATTATTTGTATATAGCTCAACATCTTTACCAAAAAAAGTTACAATAAAACATTTTTTTGTATATCATTGGCTTCTCTTAGTTGTTAGATGTGTGAGAGTGAAACTAAAGTTTGTTGAGCCATGAGAGATGATTACGATTTGATTAGTCATGTAAACTTGCTGGCTGTGGGTAAGTGTGATAGTGGTTTTATGAGGCGTGCATGACTCTATAAGTGAGTGTGATTATGGTTTGTTAAGATCTAGAGACTTTCAGGCTAGTTGTAGGACTGCACTTTTGGATTTTTGTAGGCTTCCGAAGTTGTTTGATATTTTAATTATTTGGAGGTACTTACAGATGGCGAATATTAATCACCCGAAGAGGCTGAATATGTCCAGATAAACGCGTCTACTTAGTGTTATTTATATTTATAGTTACAATACCAGGATTATATCAGTTCTCACGCGGACGTACTAATCCCAAGAAGAGCACTGGGCGAAGACCTCAACTGATAAACATTCACCAGCAGGGTCGTGTTAACCTGTGGACACACTGGGCACTTACCTCGCACTCCTGGAACATCATGCTGCCCAATAAGGGCTAAGAAATGTTATTTCAAAGAAATATGCGTTTTAAAAAAACAAACATGCTAGGCTTAACACAAAGAACGGGTCTAAAACTAGGTCGGTAGAGTAGTGTAATAGTGATCACAGGGTGGAGGAGGTGTATGTTGATCATAGAACGGTAGTGTAATGGTACTGTGTCCTTCGAAAATCGATAATAATTTAAAACATCGGCTTGTTGCTGGGACTGATCGGTCTTGGGATGTGCCGAAGGTTGACAGTGCCGGTTCTGGTGCAGAAGTTGCAGGGGATGAATGGGACAACTCGGGCTTCTCTGGTTGGTCTTTTGTGTTCTGCTAACAGCTGTGCTGGTTTGCCTCACGTTCAACTGAGCCCTTGTGTAGGGAAGCGCGCTTCGAGTCTCGATTCTTTCAAGGACTATTCCCACACATCAGGGTCAATGAAAATCGCTTTCATTGTGTTTTAGCCTTCCGCTTGCATGTTGAGCTCGATGTAAGGTTTTCGTGGAGCCAGTTGGTAGAGTCTTCTTTGTGTTAATGGTAAGACCAAAGTTTGCGCAGGTATCCGAGATGTGTGCAACACTGCGATGCATAACGGCCTCTGATTCAGCGTTAAGGGGACAATCGTTGGCATACTGAAAGTCAATGATGATGTCTGCCTGGAGCTTGAATTTAGCGTTAAGTCTCCTGAAGTCAAATAATTTACCGTCAGTTTGGTGTCTGATGCCGGTTCCTATGTCCCCGTCCCCCCCCCCCCCACCCTTTCTGTACACGCCATACAATATGGCGGAGAAAATGTTGCTGAAAAGTGTTGGTGCCAGGATGCAGACTTGTTTGGCGCCATTTAGACACAGGGAATTGTTGAGACTTCTCTCTATTTCCCCGGACCCGAGTGTGCGTACTACTATCGTGGAATTGCCTTCCCATGGAAATGAACTTTATGGGGCATACATATTTTTCCATCTTCCAAAGACCTTCTCTGCTGGCAGAGTCGAAAGCCTTGGTTTGATCTACATAGTTAGAAAAGATGGCAATATTTTTTTTTCTTCATGACATGTTTCCTGTACTTGTCTTGGCGCGAAAAACATAATCGATAGTTCTGCGCTCTTTGCGAAAAATGCAGCGACTTTCTTGGCAGTAGACGCTTCTCAAGATGCGACATGAGACAGTTAATAAGGATTCTAGTGAGTATCGTGCCTGCATTGGAGAGTAAAGATATGCCTCGGTAGATGTCGCAGGATTGGCGGTTCCCTTTACGTCTGTACAAGTGGACAATGGATGCCCCCTTAAAATCATGTGGTATCTTTTCTTGCAGCTACATAAGTATAAGGAACATCTGATTGAAGCCTTTCAGTCAGAGCTTTGTCATCGTCCAAGAAATTTTCAGCTGGGATGGAATCATCACCTGGAGCTTTGCCACCTGAGTGAATGCATATATCTTTTTGCGTCTCGCTTAAGGTAGTTGGGGGGTGGGGGATGGGGGGGGGGCTTTCATTTCTTGTTTGTGGGACACCTGCGGGGGTGTGGTTTCGGCTTAATTATGGCATGAGCACTGATGGATGACTTTCATTTCTTGTTTGTTGGACACCTGCGGGGGTTTGATTTAGGCATAATTATGGCATCAGCACTGATGGATGAAGGTCGATATAGGATGCTCTCAAAGTGCCCTTCCCAGCATTTGATACTTTGTTTTCTTTCTTAGTAATCAACATTTTTTCATCAGCACTCAGAAGTAGGAATGATCCTAATGAATGGGGACCTTAGACATATTTGAGAGCTCATTTCAGATCGTGTCTGTGCGAATAGCCATGGATTGCGTCAGCCTTTTCACTGAACTAATCCGTCTGCATGTGACGTAGTTTTTGCTTCACTGTTCTCCTAATATTGTAGTAAGCGTCTTTACTTGAAATTGAATTCGGAGATATGGGAGATGTGAAGATTTGTATTTTTTCTGTCGAACCAGTCCTAATTTTTTTGTAAGAGCTTGTTATCCAAAAACTAGATAGTGGTGCTGTACAACATTGCTTTGAGTGATGCCCAATCCGATTAAATGTTGTCATTATCCAGAGATATGAATTTCAGAAGTTCTCCCAGAGCACCCTCAAACGTCTCTTCGACTTAGTCGCGCTCAGACGTTTAGGGATCTTCTTCCCATGTGGTCACCTTTTGGGCCATATGTCTTAGCTTGGTGATGATGAGACGATGGTCTGTCCAACAATCTACACCCAATACAGACATAATCGCACGCACGATCCGACTGCCCTTTCTCTTGATGATATCATAGTCAATGATACGCCAATGTTTTGATCGAGGGTGCATCCAGGATGCCCAATTACGCCTGGGAAGGTGAAAGACCTTATTAGTAATTAGCAGTTTCTTGCTAAGCGCAAGTCTGGTGCAAGAGAAGACCGTTGCTGTGGCAATGGCCCACTTCATGCTTTTCCAGCACCCCATCCCAGGCGATGTGGTCACAGCTCATTCGAGAATTTAAGTCAACAAGAATTATGAGATTGTCCTGATTCGGAAAAGAGCTATAATGACAGAATGAATATTATCATACAACTTGGTCTTTACTTCATCTGTGCTGGCCATCGTTGGAGCGTAGCAGCTGATGATGGTGAGGTGTTTTCTTCCATTTGAGAGAGGGAGTTTCATTTTAATGATCATATCTTTGAATCCCCTTGGAATCCCCTTGGAAGTCCAACCAGCGCATGCTAATCAGTGCAGAATTGATAGCAAAACCAACATCAGCCTCACGGCGTTCTTCGATTCCTCGTCCACTCCAAAAGAAGGTATATCCAGAGCCACTCCAAAAGAAGGTATATCCATAGCCACTCCAAATAAAGGTATATCCAGAGCCCCCTTCGCAGAGTTCGTCCTTTCCTGAAAACCGGGTCTTGTTAAAGACTGCAATATCTTCCTTGTACCTGACTATTACATTTCATATGACAGGCTTTTCTCCTTTGCGGTCTATCCACGTCGTCCTACTATTACATTTCATATGATAGGCTTTTCTCTTTTGCGGTCTATCCACGTCGTCCTATAAATGAAGAGTGCGAACATTCCCAGCATCCATTTTTAGTGGGATAGTTTTGATCTTGTTTTGAAATTGTTCGCTACTTAAAATTTGAATTTCGATCACATGCATAGGGCCCCTGCATCTGCGGAAAGTTGGATAAGGAAGACTGGAGCAGACAATATTTAAGGCACCTCTTCTAGGTAAGCAGTGTGTTCCTAAAGAGGGCTGCTCAGGGGGCTACCGGATAGCACAACTGCTCCTTTACAGTGATGAACGACACTACAAACTGTACAAATCTTTTCATACTAGTTTTCAAATGACATTACATAAAGCAGAAGAAATGTTGTTTGTTCAACATGGGATGAATCTGGTGCGGAGACAAAAATAACAACAAAGTACTTAGACATTTTCAGGTCCTTCAAAATTGCGTTGCTTTACAAGTAAAGAACCTTCAGCAATTAACTCGTTTCGGGAATCGGCACTGAGATAATGTAATTGAAGTCATTGTCCCTTTTCTTGTAGCTCTTTAACCTGCAACACATGTTTGTTTAGACTTGGATCCCAATGAGACAACATCTCAATGACTCCCAAAACGTTGTGAGAACTGCCATGCAAAAAAAAAAAAAAGAAAAACTATCTCCAAGGAATAGTACAACATCAATTATTCATTTCTTAATGTTGTACAACTTGAAAAAAAAAAAAAAAAAAAAAAAGAAAAACTATCTCCAAGGAATAGTACAACATCAATTATTCATTTCTTAATGTTGTACAACTTGACAGATTCTTTTTCAATTGATGCCTCATATAGACTTTCAATATGCGTTAGTTTATTTCTCGCCATGGGCCCATGGAGAGCAAGGGGGCCCACGGAGAACAAGGGGGCCCATGAAGGGGATTAAAAATTTCATTCTCACAAAATGTCAACAACAAAAAACAAACAAACAAACAAAAAACAATATTGCATAACATACTTTATACTCCATATTGCATTTTGAGAATTTTAAAATTATTTGCTAATTTTTAGTGTCTTTAAGTTCGTCTTTGATTAGAAAGTCTTTTTCTTTTTAAAAAGTGCTACTTTTTACAATTAAAATTGTTATCTGTAAATTAATTATCATCGATATTCCAGTTGTCGTCACAGCACAACTCTGCTTCAATCCCTCAGGAAAACCACACTGAGAGGGTAACGTGTGATGATTTCCTCTCCATTCCCACCCCTCTCACTGCAGCAAGCATATTGAAGCTCGGTCGCTTCCCTACTCATAATTCCGCACCGTTGAATGGACAAAGCAGAGGCGATGATCAACTAAGCGATAGAGGTACATGTGTCACCAAAAAAATTACGATGGACACAAAAGATGGCACTGCGCGTAGAAAGAAATTCTTTTATATTCGTAAAAAGGTATGCTCTGTAAAGTATATTTAATTTACACTGAGGCTCAAAATGTGACTTCATTGATTAATTTGGAACA